TATTGATCAAATTAAGCCCTACTTCGATCGTAATAAAATGCAAATCTTTTCAGATCTTTTGCAGGATCCGGCACGGCAGACACCGCAGGTACAAGTTCCAGAGGTGGGAAAACGACAAGTACAAGGGCAAGCCAATGAGAGACAGAAGCAAGTGAAAAGAAAATTGCCCCGCGGAAAAATTGAAGGTAAAAGAAAAAGAAGCCGTTCCGCCGTCCAGAAAACAGAGTTCACGAACACCCCCAGAATGAAGAAGAAGGGAGAAGGACGACGTATGTGAAAGGACCAGGAGAAATGACGGCAACTATAACCCGGCTTTAAAACGGAAGATCGACTCATCCGACAGAACTCTCCGCAGCAAAAGTCGCCGAACTGCGGAAGGGCCATCAGCGGCGGAGGAAAAAGTACAAGAAAAATTTGAACGGCCAACAACGAGGTCCAAGCAGGATCACGACAGAAGTTTCCCGGTTCCACCAAGACCAGCTGCCTTCAAACGGCCAAGACCACAAGCAGAGGACAAAAGGAAGGTGTTCAAGGGTGGCCGTACTGGTGTGAAAAACGGAAGCTTCCAGAGGAAAGCACTGAAGGGCGAGCCCGTACAAGAAGGAGGATCAAACCAAGCTACTATCTGCTATACCTTTAAAGACTGGGCCCAGAAAAGGATGTCTGAATATTACAAAGATAAGTAAAATTTTATGTTACTTTGCAAACTTAAGTTAATCTTTCATTCTTACTGCAAGTGGCAGATTTCAAGAAGTTTTACCTCATGCGAGGTCTACCTTTATCGCCAAAAGGGCGAGAAAGAAATGAGTTGTGACCGATTTTCTTATTATGTTTTTCAATTACTCGCGCGTAAAACTAAAGTTGATGTATAATAGCGTTGTGTAAAGACTTAAATATTGTAAAAAGTTATTGTATAAATTTTATTTAAAACATTCTAGCAAGAAAGAAGTTTTAGTCTGAAAGACTTTTTGAAATGTAGTATTATTTCAATGTAGAAAGAATTGGCACTTGCTTTGAAAAGAATAGAAGTTAACAATGTACTACTAATGTATGTTTTCAAATGTGTAAAATTAACGGCATGTTGATATGTTCTTGTATACATGTGAACTGTTATTTTAAATGTTAAGAAATACCGTGATATGGTAAAAGTGAAAGTAATGTTAAAAATTTGTTATTCGTGTGACTGTAAAGATTAAAATCATGGTGAATATGTGGTTAAAGGTTGAATGATGTAGTTAGGCTCTCTGACGCTACACTTTAGAGTTAGCCACTTTTAGAATAGTACCTCAGGGTTTAGAGTTGAAAGTAGGGTGTGTTAAGAGGTCTCGTTATGTTGAATTTTAACACGTTAGTGTTTTGATTGTAGGAGGAAGTGTTGAACACATAGACAGAAACACATTCGTGTTTGGTGTTTTTACAACACATGTCAGAGAGCACGGGGAGAGATAATTAAAATAGTCATGAATGAAATAAGAATGTTAAGAGAAGTATATTGTATATGTTATTTGCAATGTCATTGTGTAACATTTCATTAAACTAGTTTTCCTTCCAGATCTCTGGAAGGAACCAGAATTGAATAAAGCTCCTGTTAGATGCAGTACAGATGAAAAAAAAAGATTGTTGTATATCCTGGGAGCTGCTATTGTAACAAATTTCTTTCTTTTAAATTTCTAGTTTCTAACGAAGTTATGATTGTAAAAGGTTGGCCTCGCGTTAGATTTTAGAGCTAAAAGTTTTCAACAAGGTCGTTTTAGACCTCAGTTTCAAACTAATTAACTCTGGCGGGAAGTATGTAAGGATCTTAAGTTTTACTAACGTTTATTTTATTTTAAATCTTTACTATCACTTCTTATTTTCTACTTCCGGCCAGAATTATAAGCGTTAAGGATTTTATGCAAAGTTGTCTGGCGAACGCCAAGTATTTAAGTGTGGCCTTTTTGCCAAGCGAAGAGAGAGGAAGCAGTGAGTTCGAAGCAGGCCGCTTACCTTAGAAGTTACGCAGTTGCTATTTGCCTTCCAGGCCAGAGGTTTTAATCCTCTTGATAAATTAAACGTATTGTAGTGTTCACAGTCTCTGTGCTACATACGCTTCCTGTTATTATAAGGCCAATCTTATTCTAAAGTTAAATTAGAGTTTAGTTTTATTTTGATATCTTTTACGTTAGACCCCGAGTGGAGGGTCATTGTATTCCGAAGTACGGAAGTCATTGTATATAAAGAAAAATAAAGGGTTTTGTATACCCTTCGTCTGTATCCTGTCTACTTACTACAATTAGTGAACATAGCTTTAGTAAGCTCTCTGTTCTAGTCAGGTCATTGTATGTTTCCGAAGAAGGTTAGAAGAAACATTGAACCTGATAACCTTTTGAAATTAGGCTGAACAATATATTAAAGAAAATAGAAGATACAGCACACGTAAGAACAAAAGTGGGCTGAATTAGAGATTTACATGTTTGGTGAATGAGTTAAACTTACCTGTATGCCATTATGAAATATTAGGAATGTAGCATAAAAGCATGAGTGAAGAAAGCAATGGCAATCTAAATCATTGTAATCTAAATGTATATCATTATCAGTATCTGCTATTAATTTCAATACTGCTAAAAATTATAAATGAATTATATTATAAATTACATGAACTCGTTGCATTATAAATTACAACAGTTAGAAATATTATTAGCGTGATTTAGCGACCATCTTTGTTAACAAATAATTTTAAGTAATTAATTTTAGAAATAATTCAGCCTGAAAATAGGTTGGAAAATAAGCTACATGCTGAAGATTAAGCTTTGCCAAGGTGTTAGAAACATCTTCTGTTAACTAGAGTTGTGATGCAAGAATTTGTAAAAATTATCATTTAAATATAAATTGGCATAAATACAATAGAAAGTATATAAATTCTACGTACATGAAAATTTGAGTACAGTGCAACAATATGTGAAAAAGGTATGGATTAAAAGGGAACTGAAAATTCCAGGATATGAATATAAGGGAGTTTATTATTATTATTATTATTTTGTTAATTATGAAAATTCTGCTGACACTCATAATTATTAATTTATTAATTAAATGTGTATAAGAAATTAAATGTATGCCAAAGTACATCAGATGGAAAACAGAATAAATATTTAAACGTTTCTAGTATTAAAATATGGAATTTGTAACAAAGTTAAATAACCTTAAAATAACTTCAGTGATTAAAAATGGAAAGCTTAATACGGGAATATATTGCAATAATATTAGTGTGAATTTAGAACGACTTAAGAAGTCCAATTTTTAGATTTAATAAAGATAATTTTTATAATTAAATTAGAACTGTTTACGTAAAATGGTAAATTTGAAAGTTAAAACCATTCTGCTATCTAAGAAGATTTGTTAATATTTATCTAGACAAGAAACTTATTTAAGGTGAGCTACAAATCCGATATTTGATACGTTGATTATGTATCAGTTTTGTGTATGTCATTAATCTATCAATTTTACTATTCAAAACTCATACATATATATATCAGCGACTAAAATCTACAACTTGGAAAGTTCTTGATTCTTACAGAGAATAAAAAAGATCTGGCTTATCATTCCTTTAAGCATCATAAAACTTTTAACATCCTAAAAATGAGTTTAAAAGAAATTTATTTTTTAGCACACGCCAGACTTTACATTAATATTTGTTTTACATGCACAATTTTTACAATATTGATAAACGAAAATAAAGGCTTGTAGTCTCAATAGAATGTCCCATAAATGGCGATAAACGACTTTTTGTAGCACCCAATCTTCTTGGAAAGAAATGGGAGACAGGAAACGTCGCGCAGTTCGTGGATTAGTAAAGAGGGGAACGGGGATTTTCGATCAAATTTAGCGCAGTTCGTACCCTACCGACAATGGGTTCAACTGACAGACGAATTTCCTCAAAATGAGGAATACTTTGTCCAATTAATTTATAGGCTCTTGAAAGAGATTAAAGAGCGACTGTAATTCTCCGTCGCCTTCGAGAATCAACCAGGAGCTAATGTAGTTATTGCTCCGAAAAGAGAGCAATAACTCATCAACTATCTCAGTAAATGCATGAGGTATACCTATATCATCAATGTCTCTCTTTGGAATAGTCACATTCCCTGTCAGCCTTATTTGAGACTCCATGTTTACAATGGAAGGTTTGGACATTCTTGCTCTCATGAGCATTATTCATGATGATAAAGTTTACTTTCACTGTTGTCTTATGTAATTCTGTATACATTCCAAATTTCCTATAAGTTTTGCCTTGAAATTTCTGGGAAATTCGTATAAAGTGGTTGTTAAGTTAATTGTAGATACAAATGTGTATAACGGGTTGCAGCTTCTGTACGAAAGAGAAGATAATTTATGTTTGAAACTACGAAGTTTTGATGCCCGGGAGTAATCAAACGTAGAAGCGCTCTTACAAAATCAGATGATCAGCAGGTCGTTTGTGATATGCAAGGAATTTTTTTCAGTGCCATTTGAGGGGGGAGAATGTGATCAGAAATTATCATACAATCATTTATAGGAAGTAATAAGACTAACAATTTAAGTACCCAAAGAATTTGAATAATTACTAAAAATAAAATAAACTGCCTATTTTAGATTTTAATTTTATTGAAATGATTCAACCAATTCTCAACCTTTCCTACACTTCTAAAGAAGTAAATTAACATTTTCAGGAAATTTTATAATTATGTCACTGAAATGTTTTTTCTTAGCTGAAAATCAATTCCAGCAATACACTGCACTTAAAATTTATAGTTAATTTTTATAAAGTATTAATGATTTTTACAGTGTGAAAAATTACTGCCTATAAATTTATTTATTTCAATTGTACAGACTAAAAGTGTTTTAAAATTTATTACAGACCTTAATAACTCTCAATCTGTAACCAACTACGTATAAGGATTGTTGCATGAACACAGACATTTGGAAAGAAAACATATTATATATATATACATTTTGCAATAATTAAAACAGAATGAAATACTAATTACCATGTATGGAAAAACATTTTGGTTCGCATTTTGGGCATATTCATGACTCTCTTTTCTGTCTCTGAAGGAAAATAAAAAAATAAATTGCAGAAAAGAAAGGAAACTAAGAAACAAAAATTATCTCTAATATATTTATCACTAGGACAATAAATAGTAATATAGCAGAAAGTTAAATCTCAAAGACTATAAGAATTATATCATTATATTACGAATGTAATCATTAACCAAGCCAACAGATTTAAATTAGTTGACGGCGTTCATAAATATCTTACTGATATTTACAAAATTTCTAGAAATCCTTTGAGGGTTTACCAAATAAACTGGCCAAATTTCATAGAACTCATGCTACTTTTAAATCAAATAACTGGCGGATTCACGCTCATGAAGTTTAGTTTCCTTATTTATTTGCGCATTTAATCAGACCAAGTTATCGCTTGTTTAGAACGCTTTCTTTTAAGTAATTCAAAATTAGTATACACCTTGCAGTCCTATGTATATCTTTAACATTTTCACAATATATTTTACGCGCTATTTATTTCAATATTACTGGATTCTCTTAAAACATAATGCATATCTTCATGTATTGGTTATACAGGGTTGCGCAAATATTGGACAATTTAAACTTTATGCCGTGCTACCATCTTTGTAGGTGGCGCTGAATAAAGCAATTTAAAGTCTTAAATGCTGTGCAGTATTAGTAGGAAAAGCATCGAAGAAAGCTTATTTCTATCTAAATGAATATGTCAACAAGAACTTCAAATATTGGGTGGTAGGGAATATCCGTATGTTGTAAAAGAAACCACTGGTTGTTTTAGGAGGAGTGTTTGCGCAGCATGCCCTCTCTTGTTCTGAACATATTGGATGGCTTCCAACGCATATCTGATTTTTCAACATGCAGTTTTTTTCCGTGAGGCTATATGAATGGGAAAGTCTATGCCCCATGACTTCACAGTATAAAGGAATTAAAAAATCACACCTGAAAGGAATTTATGCAATTTCATCGAATTGCTGAAAAAATCATGGATAATGTCAGACAATAACGCCTGTCCTGGCGGGCTATAGTGATTCAGGGCTTCTGAGATTCTACATAACGGTCCTCCTGAACAAATCGAATTCAGATTCGCCTGATAGTTATGGGATACCGACCGAAACGAACAACTACGTTGCGGAACGATAAGTCTCGAAAAGCTATGATTCTACCTCGATCAAATTTCGACACGCGCTGGTATTATTTCTCCTTTACGAGGCATTACAAGATCTTTACACAACCAACCAGCATTCAAATGAGGAACCAGCAGTGCGGTCTTCACATTTATATACTATAGAGATGGCATTACTTTTACCTACTTTGTATCTACTAATCATTTACACATTTCTTTCATGTGAATTTGATATTTGTTGCATGCCTTGCTCATGGTATAATAATTTTAAGGTTATGGTATATTTAAAGTATAATTTCACAGTGTCATTGTCTATTTGTGAGGCTCGGTGGCGCAGTGGCTAGCGCGTCGCGCAGCACCACCACAGGTCCAGAATCCGATCCCCAAGCTGGACAAGATTGAATCAGCCTTTCATCCCTGGACTGGGTCGATAAAATGAGTACTAAGTTCGTTTGAGGGCTAAACTTCGGTGGTCCCGCGACAAGGTGGCCACTTGTCCAGGCTAAGATGCAGAAGCACCCGAAGCCCGCGGTCTAGAAAGCAGATATCAGGGTACTGCCGGCCATGGCTCTCTAAGGGCTGTTTGTGCCGGCGAGTTTACTTTTAAAGTTCAATTGTTTATTTGTTTCCGCCCCACTCTCTATTATACATATATAAAAGCATGTTAAAACTGAAAAAGATTTGCAGAATTTTTATAAAAATAAGAGATATATTCTCACGTTCTAAAATACATGTATCCACCAATTAGAACAACTGCAAGTATAAGTCCTAATACAACACCAACTACAGCTGCTTTGGTAACTCCTGATTTCTTTACTTCTGTAAATAGAAAAGACAATAGAGCTTTATTTCTTGCTTAGAAGTTTAGAGGAATCATAAAAAGTCAATAATTATAAGTGATTTGCTTCTTAAAAGAAAAATAAAAGTCGGTCGGTACATATCATCAATATCCAATTAATATAATTTTCCATGATTCCGATTTGATCTGAAAAGTCATTTGTGTTAAAATTACAGCACGTTGTTTCAGCAATTTTTTAAGCCAAAGCAAATACTATGTAATTTGCATGCGATGTTTCTTGTATCGTGATTAGTCTTACGAAAGCTGTATGGAAAATACTGGAAAAGCCAGTTTAATACTTTTTAATAATTTACACAAATCGTCAAAATTTCTTGTTTTTAAAGTGATTCTTGCTCCATCAGAGGGGGATTGCTTAAAGAAATTGAAGGATAATCTGAAAGAAATATTCTCAATGGTTGTTTTCAACCAATCTCCAATGGTACAATTATTAATGCTAATTGCCATGCTATTGAACCAAAGATTAGACTTCTGCGCATATACGTTACGTCTATAATATGCAAATTAAGCGAATGATAACGCTTAACGTAATGGACTGAAGTAGAAATCCGGATATGAAGTGTTGTATAAAATGGATGCGTTTTCAAAGACTGATCACTATTTATTAGATATAACACAAACACATAGTTTAAGTAAAATAAAAAAGAGAAGTTAGCAGTTTATTGGTAGGCTCGGGGAAAGGTAGGTAAACATTAATACAAGTCACCCAAGGTCAAAAAATCCCTCAGAGTGTTATATCAGAACCTTTAAAATGTTTTTAAAACACTGAATCAGTGAGTGGACAGCCCTGTCAAAGATGGACAGGAGCAACAACTGCATATGAAGACCCTTTTTTGCTACTGTCGGGTGAAGAAACTGTAAGCAGCACACATGAATGTTATTTTATATCTGGAGGCTGATTTTTCTTGCTTTCCTTACCTAATATAATGAGTCTTTGGTGTGGCTCGTCACTGAAATCAAAAGCGTACCAAATCGCAAAAGTTTGGAAATATTTTCCTATTTAATATTCAAATCATGCATTTTTCCTATTTCAATATTTTGAAACTCCCACAACTGATCGTTTAAATTCAGATATATGTGAATTTTTGCTAAACTATTTACTTCTTTTATTACTTTAATTTAGCACCAATATTCGCTTACTGCTGTAAAAAAAAAAAAATTCCGAAAAGATTTCTTGAGTTCCCCCCACACACACACACACCTGAACAAGAGGGATCTGATTGCTATAAAAATCGACAGACTTTTATTCAAAATCTACACCAAACAAAGATTGCTTATTTTTGGTTTAGTTTTAAATTTTACATTGGCAGGCTCTGCTTATGATTTGATAAACATTCTGGTGCCCATCGTATCATATATGATATGCTTTGAATTTCTTATATGGGCCATTCCTCTTAACAGAAGCGAAAACTCACTAGAAACTGAGAGTAATATATGATTCGCTGAAACAGAATGTTCTGCTTTAAGTTTTGAAAGCAAATAAATAAGATTAGAATTTTAGGAGATCAAAATGAAAAGAATTTGTGGAATGCTAAGCGTATTGTTTTCCATTTTATTCTACAAAATTTAAATGCACGATGTCGGTCACGATATTGTTTAGGCGTTTAGTGTATCCCTCACGCCTTCAAAATTCTTTTGATTTTGCATATAAATTGTGGCAATAGAGTATAATATGCATATAGCTTTTTGAATTTTTAGGTCTTCGTTTTCATTAATATATGGAGATAACTTCAATGTATAATAGTTATAAGTAATAACGCATTTTGTCTTATTTTCTTTTGTATTGTATTTCTAAAAATCAGCTTTTTTGTGGATATGGAAAAGTGAAATTAAGATTGCATAAACAATAATCGAAATATTTTAATTAAAGGCAAATTATGCAGTTTTTTTTTAACCAAGTTGAATGTGAAAATGCGATTGGGCATATAATGATGTCAAATTATTTACTTCCCCGCTATTGGCTTAAGGAGGAATTCGTCCTACATATGCCGGCAAGAAAGATATTAATAATAATTCATTCCTGAGTTTGCATAAATGAATTCTACTATAATTGCACTCTTTGCACATAAAAACTAATTTGTGTTTTGAATACTAACACCTTGAAAAGTTGTACGTTGAAGCATTAAACATATGGTGATTAATATTTTTCATTTATTATTTGTTACCCTAGTTAATATATTTTTCTAACTTTAATTAACTACATAAAAAAATTCTTTATCTGGCTTTAACTTCTTCACTTCCAATAAGCATGAAATACTTTTACTGCCCTATACAATTTTTCCTTAGGTAGGGTAATTTTTTTTAAAAAATTTAAAACAAATTTTTTAATTTCTTTTTGTACTCTACTTTTTGTACTTTTAATACAATCTTCTGCAACTTAAGCGCAGGAATTTTTCAATTTAATGTATCTTATTTTCTTTTCATATATATGTATATGAAAAGTTTTATATGTAATGATTTCAAATGCGTAGATGACAGCAGTGTACCTCTCAACAGCTAACGATACTGCGTAGATGACCGAGAAGACCGTAGTGGCTTGAAGGTGGCAGAGTGGAAAGCATGATGACGCAATTTAGCACAACATATCTTGAAAAATCACAATCTTTATTTTTTCCATGCATATCAAATAATCCTTTTTTAGACAAGATATTTCTTAATAATATTTGAATAGAATAACTCCCATTTTGAAGTATGACGTCATCTTAAGCAAGTAAGCAGCAGCAGCATGGATGAAAAGCGTCTTACCAGCAGGAGAGCTAACTCGGAAAAGGGCAGAGTATCACAGAACTTCAGAGGAAGAAGGGTGGGAGGCGGAAAAGTTTCAGTTCACAGTTCTGGTTTACAATTAATTTGATTGGACAAGAGGCATCTGCATTAAAACGTTACATAAGACAGAAAGGTCTGAAACCTGTGAGAAGAGATGAATTGAGGGGCAGATTACCAAATTTAGAATGTTAATTTTGAGGTCGTCAATTGTTTTTTTGAAACAGCTATCATATTTTGTTATATCTTACATATATATATATACATAAAGGGCAGTTTGAGACCATTGGCTTTATATATATATATATATATAAATCCCAATGGTCTCAAATATATTTATATATATATAAATCCCAATGGTCTCAAACTGGCGGCCCCGAATCAGTTTTACATTGTCCGCGAATGTAATTCCATAAATTAATTAGCATTATTATAACATTAAATATTACGAGAAGAGTTTGAAGGAAATGCCTAAGATTTTAATGATATGGAATGCAATAATTTCACATCATCTTCATCGCCATTAAAAACAAACTTAAACAGCGCCTCAAAAAAAGTAAAAATAGAGCTAATTAATTTACACATTGATACATATAAAATATTCGAAGGCACAAATTTCATTAACCCTTTTCCTACTTATCCAAAAAAAATATTCTCAGTCGAGATTTTTGCAGTACAAGTAATCGCTTTTTATAGATTTTGCAACAATAAAATTCGCTTCAGAGTACATTTATATATGAATAGTTTTCCCGCAGACGAAAATTAATAGAAATAGTTCTTAGGAAAGAACCAGATTGACCAATGAGTATTTACAATTAATCATGAAGGTAGATTTTAGTCAATTTTGTTCAAGGTTACAATCTTTATTAACGTAAAATCCAAACTCTAAAGTTTGTAGTCGCAAACTGTTGTAAGAAATAAAGAAGCTTATAATTATTTGTATAAATGTGTATGTTTTTCCCTGCCTCAAAGAAAAATTTAGTAAATAAAAGAATAAGAACATGTTGTCATTATTTATTCTGAAGTTAACTCCCACACGGAAAGTATTTGTAATTTGTTTGATTTTCATTCATGTTAACATTTTTATTTTAAGCTAAAGTAAGTAATTTAGTGATAAATCGACAAATTAGATTCTAAATAAATATCTGGAATCTGTGTACTCAGCTCTCAATAACTCTGAATTATAAAGTGTAACCAACAGAAATTTCTTACAGAATTTGTTTTTCTTTTTTCCTTTGATTCACTATTATTACTCTTTATGTATATGTTTTGATAAATATTCCGTAAATAAAGTTAAATTTTGGTTAAAAACATTTGTTTTGTTAAGACGAGTTTGAGCCTCTGAGCATTCGACCGACACGAAATTTGTGTTTGCCACTTTGAGCTATGGAAGCTAAAAAAACATATTTTATTGATTAAAATAATTTTAGACAACTTATTTAATTGTAATAACAACAAAATTTGGTAAAAAATTATATGTCATAAATCAACATTTAAAATCATACGAAGGAGTAAAGTGGGAAAGGTAAAACTCACTCTTTACTAATTCATTTGTTGAATTGCAGAAAGCACCTCCATATTCTTCATCACAACTGGAACACAAGTTCACATTAAAAATGATTTCATAAAATTTTATCTTTTAAAAACAAGTCAGTATATATTATTGCTCAATAATAAATTAACTTATATCAAATTTTGAGCAAAAACAAAAATTATTGAATAAATTTAACCGAATTTTCGCAACCAAAATTACAGTAATTTAATGAAAATATTGTAGATATTTTCTCAACCCTTTTAAATATCATAAATGTAAATAATGTTATTTAAATACTTACTGTAACATAATAAACTAATACGAAAATATTTAAGACCGTATAATATGCTCATAAATTTAAATAATATATATATAAATATATGTATGGCTCATAAATATATATAAACTTATATTTAACTAACTAATCTAAATGAATATTTAAACCATATTAAAGTAATATTTAACTAATTATTTTAACTATATAAAACTATAATTTAAATATTTATTCTAGCATAAAAATAATTTATAAATGTTTACTGTAACATACTATACTCATAAATGAACGTAAATGTTACCGTAGAGTCTGTAATGTAAACGTTTGTGGAATAAATTAAATTCATTAATGGATATTAACATTCCTGCTTTGCGAGAAATGTACATAAACTCGTGTACAAAATTAAGTGAATTTGCAACTTTTCTACCTTTACCAAAAGTACTGAACCAAAGGAACTAATTATGCCGCCAAAGAATTATGCAAATGTTCAGCTAAGGAACGCGTACCCTTACACGTATGTGTCTGCGGAGCTGTGATAGTGGAGGGGATTTGAGCGTGAGAAGATTCTCGGCGAGCTGGGTGCTCTTGCTTCTTCACGACATTCGGCGGGCATCTCGCAAGATTTGGGTTTAAGGTAGCAAGTGAAATGAGTAGCCGCAAAAGTGTGGATGACGAAATGGAATAGAAAATTGTCAGTAGATGGAGCAGACCAATCGCAAGCGCAAGTGGCCACGGAACTCAGCGTAACGCCCAGTGTCATCTGCGATTTGTGAAAACAGTTTCAAGACACTTTATCCATACCCGAGAAGACCTGTCCAAGATTGACCAGAATCCACTTTGACGAATAAAATCGGTATTTGTGACTTTCAGCACGGCGGCTCAGGACTGTAATGCAGAAATGCTAATATTCATTAATGAATTTAATTTGGATGATTTAAATTATTTTCATTTAACTAATATTAGCATTTTTGATTTTAAAAGGGGTGAGAAAATATATACATTATTTTCATTAAATTACAGTAATTTAATGAAAATATATTTAACATGTAAAAATAATGATTATACATTATTTTCACATGTTAATATCCATTAATGAATTTAATTTATTGCACAAACGTTTACATTACATTACGGTAGACTCTATGAGTATAGTATGTTACGTAAACATTTATACATTATTTTTATATTACAGTACGGTACATGTACGTTCATTTATGAGTATAGTATGTTACAGTAAACATTTATACATTATTTTTACATTACAGACTCTACGGTAACATTTACGTTCATTTATGAGTATAGTATGTTACAGTAAACATTTATACATTATTTTTACATTACAGACTCTACGGTAACATTTACGTTCATTTATGAGCGTAGTATGTTACAGTAAACATTTATACATTATTTTTATGCTAGAATAAATATTTAAATTATAGCTTTATATAGTTAAATATTTAAATTATAGTTTTATATAGTCATTAAATTACAGTAATTTAATGAAAATATTTTATACGTTTTTCTCAACCCTTTTAAAATCATAAATGCTAATAATGTTATTCAAATACTTACTGTAACATAATAAACTAATACGAAAATATTTAAAGCAAAATGTAACATGCTTATAAATTAAAATAATATAGTTTCTATATTTAAACTAATATAAACTAATATTTAACTGATTTCAAGGAATATTTAAACCATTATAAGGTATTTCTCCCGTCTTCCTAGCGTGCCTTCGTGGTGTAGTGGTTCTGCACACTGGGCCGGTATTCCAGAGGTCCGCGGTTTGATTCCCGGTGAAGGCGTTTGCTAATTTTCATCTTGCCTACTTCTAAAAATACCTAATGTCTCTACACCATATTAAAGTAATATTTAACTAATTAATTTAAACTATAATTTAAATATTTATTCCAGCATTAAAATAATTTGCAATATTTACTGTAATATACATAATGTCACAGGTTCACAATTCTCACGTGAGCTGTGTGCTGCACTGGAACTCGAGTATATAATGTAATTATGTAATGTATTACTTTTAACTGAGGTAAACTTCAAACTTAGTTTGGAGGTACTTTTATGTGAATACTCAAGTAGTTCAATAGACTTTGATATAAGGGTTCCCTGCTTTTAAGGAATATAAATATTCCGCTGATTATAGAGTTCAGTATATTTGTACACTTTGCAAACATATATAAAAGATTTTATTTCAGTATAACTAAACTATTCAGTTAACAATTTAGTTTTAAAGAAAGGGAAAAAAACTAAATTTTCGAGATTATCTTTACCATTTTATGTTTATGTTTGCTGCTTTCACAACATTCTAACATTTCTAAAATGTTGGAAGTCTAAATTATTTTCTAAACATAATAAAAACATTCATTTTTACCAAAAGAAATAGAAATACTATTTAAGCAGATTATTAAAACAGAAGATTCTGTCTAGTTTCTTGGCATCGATGCCAATGAAAAATAAGATGAAAATTTGTAATAATGTGCTTAAGTGCTAATAAATCATTCTGCTATTGCGACTGTACATAAATATGATGTTATTTGTAAGTAATTCTGAAAGATTTTTTAAAAGTTAATTAAACGAATACATTAAAATCGAGTTCCCATATTATATTCTACATACCTGCATAAAAAGCCATGATTCCCGAACTGCACACATTCGCCATGCTTGCAAGGATTAGGGTCACATACAGCTAAAGAGTAAAAAGAATAAATAAATTCAAAGGACTTAAAGTAAAATTTCAACTTTGTTTAAAGCCTAATTTTTACTTAAGTGCAACTAAATCTACTGAAATTAATACTTCGATATATGCGGCCTTATCTGATGTATAATGAAATATATTAAAAATATATGGCATAAATGTTACTGTGATTCTTTTATATAAATCTTAATCAGTCTACACTATAAACAGCATAATTCTATAGTTATAACCTCAGAGATATGGTAATTTTAATTTAAGGTAAAATTTTATATAGCAACCTCGCTTCAGGGATAATACTGTTTGTTAGATTTCAGGCAAGAAAAATCAAATAATTTTGGAATAAGTTGCAGCCGCCGATTTATTTACAATTATTAAATCGATTTATTTTAGAAATGTTTTGGAATGAAAGCCCTCTTCTCTTGGTGTAAGAAAAAAAACCTTTCCTGTTATCTTAATGAACCAAATAAACTCATACCCCACGGAACGGCTCGGTGCAAAGGTTGCTTTGAGGCAAATATTTCTTCGAAAGGAAATGTTCCTCTGTCAGTGAAATAGCCAGAAAAGCAAAAATTAAAGAAAGTTTATATACATAGTACAGAAATTCTTTGTGAAAGGTGAGAATAAAGGTAGCTTTGGAAAAAAAAAAAAAAAAAACTTGAGTTTAAGCATAGCTTCATTTTATTGTTTATATGACTCTTGGAATGATAAATGTATAAAGTGCAGACATGCTGTCTACCGGGCCTATTACCGGCTCACCAGCGGCCGAGCGGTAAAGTCGCTGAACACTGGCAGCTCGGTCCGAGATTCGAATCCCGTGAACGGGCTGGCTGCAGGGGCATTGTCGTGATTTTCCTCATGTGTAACCTGTATACGAGCCAGTTTCCAGCCTCGAGGGCTATCTGTCTAAGAGACTTTCGTGACTTTTGTGGAGGTCTTTCTGAGGGAACTAGTTCTATACACATTACACATGAGGAGAACCACGAAAATGACAATGCAACCATCCCATTCGCGAGATTCGAACGTCGCGACCGAACTACCAGGGTTTACTTACCCACCGCTCGGCCTCTGGTGGATTGTGTGAAGTAGAATAAACAACATAGTAGTGGCCTGTTCTTGAGAGGATGTAGGAAAAATGGGGGGGGGATAAATTTATTTGCTGTCTGTTGGTAGTTTTTTTGGAAGAAAAGGGTTTGTCTTACTTTTGACTAACGGAAGATCATATGAGGCGTGTTTGCGTGAGAAGTAGGTTTTAATGAACAATTGAATCAAGAGGCAAATAGCAATAAGGTACTGGAAGGAAGAAACAAAAAGAGAGGAAAGAGAAAATTAAGCAAAGCTTTTAGAAAAAATGAAGACGAAGAGAAAAAAATGAGTTTGCGGATAATAAGTGACAGAAAGACCTAGAAGAATCTAGGACAGAGACTGAAATAAGCGATGGTGATATCCTCGTGAATGAGCGGAATGAAGAAAAATTTACTGAAGATGTATCGGCCACGTAAGTGATGATCAAATGACTTGAAGTTTTCTTAGTGTTCTCTGAAATACGTTTTAAAACTATTACTCAGAGTCTCAGTGTGTATAATTCCAGATTTGAAACGTCGAGGTTCGACAAAGAAGACAATGCGACGATCTGTGAGTAATGTTCCTATCTATGATGTGTTGGATGCAACGAAATACCGAGCTTATGACTCTTTGAATGAGGATTTGATGTTCTAGACTGATATTTAATGCATAAAGAAGAAGGATGTGAGCTTGTAAATTCCACATTTAGAGACCTAGAGTCTCGGCTTTCTTCTGCGAAGATCCGGGCGGTGTGTTCGTGTCTATGTTGTATTTCTTATAAAGAAACTGTTCCGGACTGATACTTAGCATTATGTATACCACGGATTTATTGCAACCGACACTTTTAAGGACAAGTTACACTTATACTTTGGTTTCGAGAAGCGTTCGAAAGAGCTATTCCTCAGCATCACGTAAATTTTTTTTTAATTCCCCCGGATCCATAACTGTTACGAACATTATGAATTTAATATATCACGTATTGAAATACGTATGTTTAATATGAGCCTAAGCAACGTTAAAAATTAATATTATGACATATATGTTATCGTAATTATCTGTTTGTTAAGCTGAACCTCGGCTGAAAAGCTTGCAATTGCATTTCATTATTAGAAAGTTTTGGATTAACATAAAATCTGTAATTGTGTTATCAATTCAAATATAATATATTCATACATTTCTATACACAACGAAACTAATGTTAATATTTTGTTGCTCATGCACGTTTATAGGCCAACATGATGTATTTGACTTCCAGCCATTTATTTAATTACGATTTTGTTGTTGTGTTGTTGCCGTGTCTGTAATAAAGTTTATTCAAATAGTGCCAAGGGCGAACATGCTCGGGCAATCTGGAAAATGTTATCATCGTAGAGATTCGGTCTCCAATTTTTAGCAATTCAGCAAGGATGGCCGGGCAATCAAACATGAGTGTATAAGGTACTTCTTCCGCCTTCTTAGCATGCCTTCGTGGTGTAATGGTCAGTACACTCGGCGCGTATTCAAAAGGCCCGAGGTTCGAGTCCCGGCGAAGGCATTGCTCATTTTTCACGACTTCCGACTTAAAAACAACCTAATATTCTCTACAGTGACTCCCGAACTGAAAACGGTGGTGGATGGACCCTAATCCCCAGTCGTTTTTTAAAAGAGGGAATATATGTAAGATTAACTTCAATAAAAACATAGTAGAGCACGACTTAAACATAACTAGGTACTTTATTTTACTAATATGAAATAAAACGAATAAAAAGATAAATTAAGTAAAATTGAATGTTACATGTAATCTCACAATTGAACTCAGTCCAAACAGGATTCGATTAATGATGATCAGTTTTCAGACATTATCAGTCCTCAATAAAAATACATTCAAAATCACGTCTGCTCCCATATGGCTACCTCGATGTAAGCATTTCAGCTTGACATCAGGGAATTTGAGAATCGAAAGAAACACGTATTGTTTCAAGCACTTCTAGCGGTCGTCTGCCGCTCTGCAAGCTGCACTAAGGTGTGAGGATGTCACGCCTTGCTGGGTAGAAGTAAAGGGAGTCGAAGAACCTACCTAAAATGTAAGGTAATTCTCCCTCCTCCTTAGCATGCCTTTGTGGTGTAATGGTCAGCACACTCGGCGCGTATTCGAGACATCCTATGTTCGAGTTTTGGCGAGGGTATTGCTCCGGCTTCAAAACAACTTAATAGTCTCTCTAAATGTTGTCAGTTTTGGGGGCAGGTACATATCATGTTCTTGTAGGTTTTCCTTAGGTTCTGTAGGTTACAGTAAGTGCAACCCTTCGAGCAATTTCACTCTTTTCTATGATGAGGCTAGATTCTGTATTTAATTACAATCTAAGTAATATAATGGGAGTTTATTTAATAATTCTAGCATATGGTACTTACCTATGCAACCGCTTTCTTTTATGCTCTTCGTTTCGGTGGGACGATACCCTTGTTTGCACTGGCAGTCATAACTTCCAAATATGTTAAAACATTCGGTGTTGTTTGGGCAAGACGTCTGTTCTTGACATTCATCGATATCTGAGACAATAAAAACATTATTATAGCAGCTGTTAAAAATTGGCCACTTGAAAAATTGTAAACAAATCTTTTTATTCATCAATACATACATTAGTTTAAAAACTACAGATACATATTTAATGGATTACAAGGCTTGAAATTTAATGATTCATTCAACAACAACATTAAAGCAGTAATCACTTCTAATTGCTAATTAGAAGTAAGTATACAAACCGATTTACTCACAGTACCTTATGTATGTAGTAACAAATATGATAAGTATAGATGGATTTGACACTATTTATTTAAGGGCAGTTATATAGTTAAACGATAAATAGGAGGATAGATTGGAAAGTAAAAATCATAATCACTAATCTTAGATACTAAAGTAAAGTAATGAAAGAAATAAATAATGAAAAAAATTAGATAATGCTGAACAGCATAAAATAATCACACAAATAGTAGTATGCAAAAATAACAAAATTAAGATAATAGTACAAAAAATTAATAGATTAAGATAAGATTAAAATTTAAAAAAAAAATTATTATTATCATTTATATACGTATAAATATTTATGGGTTACTATTATTAATGTGTACGTACACTTGTGTGGATAAAATGTAAAAGAAATCACTATAATAAATTTTATCTTATTGAGCGAAAAGTTGAAAGTATATGTTAATTTTATAACAGTTATTTCTAATTTTGAAACCCTTTCCTTTCAATTCTTGTTTAAAACTTACAACTCCTTACCAGAATGAGTTTTTTAGAATCGCGTTGAATGCAAATGAAGTAGCATTAAAAGGGAGTTCAACTTATTTCGAAAGAGAATACTTAGGAGTACTTAGTGGCCCGTGTTTGCATTCCGGCTAATTCATTCTTGAATCTCTTAAGCTCAACCGTATTGCACATGTCTGTTGATCATCACCGGCTAGTTTAAATTAAACGCCAACTACGTTAGACATTTGTGTCTAGCTTCGACTAAGTCTATTAATGAGTTAGTATTAGATGAGTTTCTTATTTTCTTATCCTAATTTAACAGCCCGGGTGGAAAGTCTCCTGTAAGCCATGAAAGGGACCATTTGTTGTTTCTTTGACTGAATAAAAGGGTATTTTAATCCTCCTCAAGTCTACACAGCGATATGTCTCTACTTAGTTCTCTAGGTTCCTCAACATTTTATCAAAATAGTGAGGGACATTTCAAACTTATTAACTTTAGGCAAAGTGCATGAGGGTTACCTAGGTAAGTTTCAATAAGTTTCAAATTTAGGAATGAGTAATAGGTTATAAATTTACGTATTGCTTACAATACGAGTATATTACACTAGTCACAACTCTGTGATCCATGCATAAGAAATTCTTGATTTATTAAATGCTAAAGTAATTAGAAAACCGGCATACATTAATAATACATCTTAATACTGATTTTCTCTGAGTGCTTGGAAAAATGCGCACTGTATACAAGAGTCATGCTAAGGTTGAGGGCAGTGAATACATTTATCATAATAGTTCTTCCATTGCTTTATAATAAACAAATGAAACTTTTTTTTTTTTTTTTTTTTTTTTGTAAAGGACACGGAAATTCTATCCCCAATAAATCAAAAAGCTGATTATATAAGTAGAAGTTAACACTTATTAGCACCACTTTCTGTATAAAACGTACACTTTTCTTGTCATCACGTAGCAAATGTTTATGCAACAAATTATTTTATTAAGATGAATGGGCAGCATTACACATTTGTACTAACCTTCACATATTTCAATAGTGCTTAGTGAAGTTAAGTGAAAAGTATTTATACTCTTGAATCCATCTTTGCACAGACACTGGAAGCTAGAAGTATTTTTAAGCTGTTTGCAGGAAGCTACTGGTCCGCACAACTTCTGGATTTCCTCTGTACAAGGATTAGCGACATGAAATACTTCTGTTTAAAATAAAAAAATAAATAAATAAATAAATTTCTGTTCATTACTTTTTTTTATGAAAGCTAATATTTGTATTTTCTTGCACGAAGCTTTGCAAGACTTTATCACTTATATACACTTATAACTATATGATGTACATATGATTAAGCATTCTTAATCTATGCATTACTCAAATAATAAACATAACAGGTTTAACTCTTTCACAGCGAAGGCACGCGTAACGCCCGTGCATTTAGACATCGGCAGGTCGCCCGAACGTCTACGTCCATTTTCTACCTGGTGCTTTCTCCAATCATGTTAGCGCGTTGTTAATTTGTTTCGTGAAATGTTAAATGGCATGCCAATCATTCTTAAAGCTTGGCTGTTGATGCTCGCCTTTGCAATCTTGTCTTATGGGAAAACTGAATACATTAGGTGAAACCGCACAAACATCCCAAAGAGAAAAGTAATCACTGCACTTAAATAGGTTATAGGTAACAATGGAGCATTCTACTTGACGACAGGGGGGAGGAAATACATTCCAATAGAAATTCGTAAATACGGGCGTTTTAGAAACTTGAAGGGACTTGATTTTGGCCTGTGTCGAAGCGAAAGAGTTAAATTAACTTCGATAGTGAAGAGTTGTATATATGCATAGATTGCAACCCCAGCTTGAAAATAAACTATAGCTTACCTTCGGGTTTCCCAATTTGAACTATCAGGTTCGGTTTTATCCAACAGTAGGAAGTGTCTTTTAGGGGTATACATATTGAAGGTTGGAAGATCAAGTTTATAGTATTCTTCGATGCAGCTTTTTTAAGTTGCAATTCCAAATTACATTCCAGTTCTTTACCTTCATCTCTGAAAGTGTTATGAAATATGATAATGCAAAAATTTGCAATTTATAAATAATTTCAGGCCAGTAATTTGATTATTTTTGCGGCTTAAATAATTTTACTCGCATGAATTCCTTACTTTAGTCTTTAAAGCTAATTACATAATTTATAATAAACAAAGTAATATCAGTACATTGTAAGCAAAATTATCGACATACGTTATTTTCCATCCCTTTCTTAATGCATGTATACTCCATCAATGATTTTTGTCTATTAAAATTCCCGTTTTGCTATAAGAGTTATCTAAATGTTTTGTAACAATTGAAAGGCGAACATTAAAAATTTCAATAAATTTAAATTTAATTAAATGAAACTTAAAATCTGATTTATCAGATCGTCGGCTAAAGCTTTAATTAAATTAGGAAAAACAAATCTGATGTGTACACCACATGACTTTCTTGTACGGAATGCTAAATCATATGCAATTTTTCCTGCATTTCATTTAAACTTATTCCCTCAAGTTTCATTAGAGATAAATTTCTAATTCATTTAATTCAATTCTCACTTCTCGACAAGGCAAAAATACATCAAATCTCAAAATATCTTTGTTAAATTTGAAAACTATAGAAAAATATAAAATACCAAATACAGTTAAAACGGTTAAAAAACAATTTTTACAGTTCAAATTAAGGGTTGCTATGCAAAAACAAGTAATTCGGCAAACGGGCTAGAAGGCAGATATTCTGGTGCACAAAACTAAAAGTTTCCTTTTAGTCCAACTCGGCAAAAAGACACTAAAGGGGCAGAAAGACTTAATTCACTATTCAGCTAAGTTTCAAATGTAAATAAATATGGCTGGTACGGTAAAAAGAACACAGGCTTAGCAGCACTTAAGAACTTTTAAATTGGTGATAATTCTGCAACTGTTGCATGCAGATTAGCAAAAGCTAATTTAAGTGAGTAGCAGAAATTGCAAAGTCAGTAGCTAGAAATCAGAAGCTAATCAAAACCGCGACTCAATCCGATAGTCATACACTGAAGAAAAATGAATTTTAAAACTTATCTATTCGTTTCATTCAACACAAAATCCCGTTTCGAGAATACTAGCTCATTTAGGCTACTTAAACTTTTATACTGAGTATTGAAACGATTTGCATTTGTGATACAACTTATAAATATTTCGATTTAGTTCAGGAATCTGTATAAATTATAAAATTTGATTCTGATTAAATTAACTCGGTAATAGTGCATCAGCGTGAACCGTGAAATTCTTTACTAAATTGTCATCAATGAGTAGCATTACTTGTGACAGCCAATGATATGTTATAGAAATTCAATCATTTCCATACAGATTGAAATTTTTTTCTTTTATTGGAAACTATCTGAAATTTAGAAATCAAATATATGCATATTGAGAAAGATGCATATTTCAATAGAAAAGTAATTAGAGATTGCAAAATCAGTAGCTAGAAATCAGAAGACTCAAAGCCGCGACTCAATCCGATAGTCATATACTGAAGAAAATTAATTATAAAACTTATCCAATCATTTCTATCAATACAATTAACGATTCCAAATAAAACTCCGAAACCTATCAAAGAAATGATTAAATTTCTTAGCTACAGAAATATTAGTATTATTCTGAGGTTGCTGCCCTCCTAACCGTCCTCTCCTCCAGCATCTTCTCTCCCGCATTCCAGCGACCTCTTAAGCAGAATGCTTCTCGGTCAAGGGGATACGAGACCGGAGTTTTATGTCCGGTAACAAGACAAGTAGAAGGGAGCTTCTTCGCCAAGTCTCAAATTATTCCGATAAACCCAAATTAAACAATAATTTAAATTCAATTTATTTTTTACGCATTTGAGATAAATATTGTTAGTTAAGCTGAGGCTTATTATTTACGTTAGTCATGATAAATGAGACTTTATCCTGGGCCAGCGAATGCTAATAGTAACATTCAAAAGATACGGTTTAAATTTTTGATGGTTACTGCTTGAAATCTGGTAACTCACAACAATCCTACTCAAACTACAGGTTGTATTTTGAATAGGATTAAGGCATCAATATGTCCTGTATTGTGAGAAAAGGATTTTGTTAAGCAATCTTATTAGCGACATGTGGTCTGTTTTTCATTCCATTATTGCACATTCATAATTTTGAGGTTATTTGGCTTTTGTTTCCAAGTATTTTCAAATAAATCATGGGAACAAATCAACTGTAATCGTTTTTTAATCACAGAAATACGGAAGTTTTATAATAAATTTAACCGAACAAAATCCAGCCAAGCAGGTAATAATTGCTATACAATCCTAGATTATTTAGACAATCTTCAAATTGTTGTGCCATTGTGATAAAATATCACATGCGAAGATTTATGAATGCATTTATTTCACTTCGAACTAAAGGCCAGTTTTCCGTAGTTAAAAGTAATAAATAATATTTAATATTTTCTAATAATTTATCGGATAACAATCAAATTTATATTAAAAATAGATTAAATTAGAATGAATCTGAAGTTAAATGTAGCGTATTTAATCGTATAATATAATTTTAAGAACGTCGTCATTAGTAAGCCGCCAATTTAAGCTTATTCTAACTTCCTATCCTATTCATGTATCTTTGTATTATACGTACATACACACACACTACCACCATTCCCCCCCCGAAAAAAAGTTCAATTAGTTACATAGAAATACGCATTCTTAAAATTATTGGCGTCAGTGATACTAATTTTTACAATCAAAAATGAATCTTAAAATTGCATTCAGCTTCAATCAAAATTTACTGCTTTAAATATACAAGATGGCTAAAAAATCCTTAGAAATTTTAAAATTTGTAAAAATGTATATACAGTAAGACCCCGCTTAACGCGGGGGATACGTTCCATCGAAGTAGAGCGTAATGCGAAACAGAGCTAAGCGAGGCTATCTTAACATGTAAATATGGCCCACCAGCGGCCGAGCGGTAAAGTCGCTGAACACTGGTAGTTCGGTCCGAGGTTCGAATCCCGCGAACGGGCTGGCTGCATGGGCGTTTTCGTGGTTTTCCCCATGTGTAACGTGTATACGAGCCAGTTTCCCTTAGAAAGTCCTCCACGAAGGCATCCCTCCTCTTAGGCAGATAGCCCTCGAGGCTTTGCCATAATTACACACACACTTAACATGTAAATAATGGGGTTAGGGGAAGACGGATAAAAAATGGTTAGGCATTAAATTTAATAATGTTTTTTTTAATAAAATAAAATTAAACATTTATTTCTTACAAAAATAAAAACAATATAAACGCATATACTTTTAAAAACAAATAAAATTCTCAGTCAGATCATTCAGTCTATTCTGGGTTTCCAATTTTCTGCCTTTTTGTCAAGAAGGCATGATAGATTGGTTTAATGGCATATTGCATTTAATTTCCTCATCAATCCATATACACAGTCGTTTTTTCATTTCCTCTATAATGTTATTTCTAGAACGGGTAATTCTAGTTGCAGAGCTTGACGTAGTTGCAGTTGCCGATGACAGTATTTTTTCTTTATTCTTAAGAATTGTCCTTATTGTTGAAGTTGCCAAAATCAATGCAGCACTAATTTGAGATTGACGTTCACCGGAATCTAATCTTCTAATCACTTGCATTTGAGTTTCCAGTGAAATGATTTTTCTGGTTGCTTTCTTTTCTTGTTTTTTTATTATCTCCCATGATAAAAACTAAAGATCATAATATTTGTCACTGTATTAATCGTTATAGTATTATACAAATTTAAACTTACAATAATGGCAACAAATGTTTCAAATGATAAAATGCGACCACCAAGCAAGAAACACAACTACACTGTTTCGGATATGTTATTTGGAAACCTAGCACTGCGCACAATTTCGGAGAATCCTCGGGTTGAAATAAAAGAGCGCTAAACCGAAACAGCGCTAAACGAAACAGCGTTAAGCGGGGTCTTACTGTATTCTGAAATTGATAGCAAATATATATATATATATTGCATTCGGTATGATAAGGATACGGATTATGAAGTTGCTAATGTGGCGCCAGAGTCTCAGTAAGCTAGATAAGTAAATTATACATCTGAGTGCCTATGACTTTTAGAAGCTAGCATATGAAATTCCAAGAACTGCCAAGGAAGTAAGGTGGAGGTGGTGAAACCATTGTCTCCTTTCATTCCTATATGATCCATTTCCAATTTCCGCTGAATACGGAAGAGTAACTTGTCTGTTTGAGAGTTTTATTCCGTCAGTCTTAAGGTAGTTTCTTCATTGAGCGCCGCAGGTATGAGAAATGCTCAAGTTCAGCCGTAGACTAGGATTGCATAGTGAAGAGGGCTTGATACCTTGTCACGTGACATTCCTATATGATGGAATGCGGTTTAGATATAAAGATACAGAGGGAAATATTTTAATGATGAACAAGTATTTATATCATGGAGAATTATAGAGAATGGGACACCGCCATACTGTTGAAAATGGCCGTAACTCTTCTTTCAGTCTGCAGATGGTTCGCATGACCGGAGACTAAATACCGCTAATTAAAGCGCTTTGAAGCTTTGCTTTCCTAATCACTCGTTATGGGTAGATCGCGTCAGAAAGACAGTGTACAACTTATATATGTGTGTGTGTAAAGTATAAAACATGAAACAAAATTATTACACTCATATGATTAATTACTAAATAATTTTACAGTCTAAAGGAAATAACTGTAATAACAACTGAAACAGTAACTTACGTGCAGTTCAATAGCTTTAAATCTCTGTAATCACTATAAACATTCTTCAACTGAAAAAATATATATTAATTATTGAACGTAATAAATCCTTTTCAAGTAAACTAAATTTTACATCTAATTTTTAACTTTATCATCTGTCCACGTTGGGGTAAAAATCGCTACAAGAATGAGAAGTTTGTTGAGCATATGTAGATTTGTGATTGCTGTCCAAACAATTATTTTTAAAAATAATCTATTTTAGGTACAAAAGCATAATTATTTTCATTGTAGATAATTAATAAGAGACTTCATTTTAGCACGTTTAAATACTACTATTTCTAGCAATTTACCATTGAAGTTTATAGGAAAATTATTCCCAAAGAAAACACATTTTTTGGGTCTTTTATGTTTTATAATTTATAAAATCGATGACTTGTTGTTTATCTTCAGTTACAGATATTATTTTCTGTTATATTTTTGAAATAAATATTTCATTGAATAAGTCTGAATATTAACAGAATTGCAATATATAATAAAATATTTGACTTGAAATTTTAAAGTGCAGTTTTCAAGCTATTTATTGTTGCGACGCATCACGTACAAGAAACATTATTTTAAAAAATTGAATAAGATGCACATTAAACTTTAATGCATCAAACGGACTAATATGTGCCTTAGGAATAATTTGTATTAATACCATGTGCACCCATAGCTTAAGTTAAAATTAAATTCCATTTCAAGAATATTTTTTTAATTACTTTTTTCAGTAATTGAGATGCTGAAGCAGAGCTAAATGCTGCATTTCCGTCACATCTTTGAATAAATTCATTGAGACTCTTCCTTACCTGCCGCGACAAAACATGCATCGATTCATTTTATCAAATACTGAATATTGTAACTGTAACTTCGAATTCAAGATTTATCATGCCACCACATAACATTTCCCAAATCCAGCACAGGACTGCCACATTTACTATCGAAGGAATTAACTGCAGGCCTTTCTTTTAGTTTGAAGAGGCGCTGGTGTTTAATGCATAAGATTACTAATGCATGTGTGAGAACATTTATTCATTCAAATGAACCAATGCAAAACTGGTTATGTTTATTACATTTATTCATTCAAATGAACCAATGCAAAACTGGATGATATGAGAAATAAAATACGTAATTTAAGATGTCTGCTGTTAAATTATTAGTAAATGTTAAATCTATAAATGGAATTGTCAAATGTACTTCGATAGTTACTTGGCACCATTTTGAGCATAAAACGATGTTTCATAGAATCAAATGCCTTTTCTTTTCGTTTGACGTTTACAATGAAATCCCCATTATAAAAATAGCAACTGTAGATATACAGTAAACTCTTCATCGATCAATAAAGTAGTATCTTAAATATTTCGTCAATGCACTAAACAGGAATATCTCCAAATCTCCTGAATTAAATGCTAGAATATATCTTGTCTGTATATTAACAATTACACCAACCGTGCAAATATCGCCAATTTCTGAATCCAGTACTGTCTTACGCTGCTTAACAGTAAATTATGTTGTTACATAACCTAATACACACGTCAAATTAATATTTATCTCACCCCCTCTAGCTTTGCGAAATAAATTAAAACATAGCAGACACCTCTCGAACACAATGACTGTCTAAACGCAATTGTCTACCAAACAAAGAATGTCAGGCTCCATAGACGTAATGTTTTGTCTTCTACGCTGCTAGAAAGAAGATTGAAAATTCGCCAAGGGATTTGGCGACGAAATTTGTTGGCGAGAATTCCCCCCTCTGTGATGTACCGGACCTGGCCGAGATTTTCATCCTGTAACCTAGCGGATTTCCTGACGGATGAAAATTTTAAGAATATGAACCTCAAGTTTATTGAATTCACTGAGAAGTGTAAGCAAATGAATGTTCCCAAGAAAAGATTCTTCTAGCCTTGGGAATAGTGGAACTACTGATTCGAATGGACGTATAAGTTTCGCTCGCCTTTGGTAAGTTGAATATGAACCTCAAGTTTATTGAATTCACTGAGAAGTGTAAGCAAATGAGTGTTCCCAAGAAAAGATTCTTCTAGCCTTGGGAATAGTGGAACTACTGATTCGAATGGACGTATAAGTTTCGCTCGCCTTTGGTAAGTTGAATTACTAATTTTCTCCTTAGTTTCAATGAACACCAATAGATGGCGCCACTTTATGGATCTGACTTGTGGATGCGCTTCATCTCCAGCTCTGAAATCCTTCCTAAACCTGTGACGTTCTGCTGTCACCTTCCTCTTTCCAATTCCCACCTCCTCCCACTTACCCGTTCGGACTTTTTACCGTCAAGCGCCCTTTGGGCATATCTATCAAAAGCCGGACACGTCGCATTTTAATAGATATATTTCAGCAAAAAAATAACGATTGATTGATTTTTCTCCTCCGCCACGTGTACAGGAAATTGAGGAACACGGGTTAAGATGAATAAGAAAATTAGGTGAAGTTTCACTTTCACAGGTTGGTGAACTTGCACTATCCATATCGCAGTTTGATGTCTGATTTTATATCCGTCAATATGGAGGGGGAAAAATGGAGTCACTCAGTTTTAAACTCTTGATAAACGCGGCCGTTGAACCTGTTCGAACTTCGACATCAGCTTCGAGCTTTGGCGCTCTTTGGCGACAGATGTTTCATGCATGCGCAGCTGTTTCCCTTTTCGGAACTACTCTGATATGCGCCCTCAAGTCGCCAAACATTTTTGGCAAGAAACTCCACGCTGCCATATTGCTATCTAAATTTTTTGTCTACATTTCGAACTTTAAGCCAAAAATGTCTCCAAAAACACGGTTTTCGCGAATGCAAAAACCACGTTTTGAACACACAATTTAAGCTAAAATTCCGAAACAAAAACAAAAAATTTACATAGCAAAACCTTAAAGTTTCTAACCAAAATTATTTGACAAGAGTTCATGTGCACAGCGATATGTTTTAACTTAAAAAACATCTACGAATGGCATAATCTAGGCAACGAACGAATCTACGAACTACGCACACCTCGCTTTAATAAATTAACATAACAACAATAAATTTCAAACAATACCATGTACACAGTGTCCTGTTTCAACTTAAAAAAAAACATTTACGAATAGCACAATTTAGGCAACAAACGAATCTACGAACTACACTCACCTCACTTTAATAAATTAACATAACAACAATAAATTTCAAAAAATATTATGTATGAAACATCTACGAATTGCACAATTTAGACGGTATGCACTAATCAACAAAATAACTAAAATAAATTTCAAACAATTCAAAAAACAATAACGACAGAAATTCATACTAAAAAAACAATGAATATAGCATTCTACAAAATAAGAACAAGAATAAAATAAACTGCACTTACCATGAATTAATGCTTTTTCGAACAGCAGAAATGCCAATTTCATACCGCCTTTAACATGCCGCCACGTAATCACTATCGTATTTATATGACAGCCAGACACACTATCCAGAAAATTCATACTATGGTTCACAAATGAATAAAATAACAAATAATCACAAATCCTTACTTCTGTCATGCACAGCCACAAAAAAAATCTCACAGACCCTCTTTCCACACCTCCAAATACCCACTGCCCCTCAACAGGATGGCCACGACGATATTTCCTTTTGCCGAACTTCAATTCAACAACTTCCACCATTTTATCTTTCCTCCTTAGCTTCTCAAACACTGAGCATGACGCGAACCAAGGAACTGCAGCGAAAGATTTTTCAACGTCAACAGGGCTGCCATACAACACGCAATCGCGCCAAAACCCAGCGCAGAGCACATATCGCCACTTGATGAAATTAGGGTGTATATCAGAGTTGTACCCCCTTTTCATTCGGAGAGAGCCACTCCTGCTGCGGCGAAGTTTTCTTCTTATCTTTGAGTTCCCAAAATGCCGCTATTTTTGACACGTTGCTATGCGTATATGCTTTGTCCAATTCTTATTTTTTTGCGTGTGTGTATGTTTGCTAATGTGCACTCTCATCTGTCTAATGAGGCATTTAGATTGAATCTAACATTTATAGTTTCGAAGATATATACATTCGCGCACACTTCAAATAGCATCTTAATTTTTGCTTTCCCATCAAACCTTTATGGAGGAACGCAGACCTACGTTAAAAAGAAAAAAGGAATAAGATATGCCTCAAAACTGTTCAACCAACTCGTCTACAAGTGGAAGGTAGCTGAAAAGTTTAAGACAATAGCTTGTAAGGATCTTAAGTTTTACTAACGTTTATTTTATTTTAAATCTTTACTATCACTTCTTGTTTTCTACTTCCGGCCAGAATTAAAAGCTTTAACTTATTTATGCAAATTTGTCTGGCGAACGCCAAGTACTTAAGTTGTGGCTTTTTGCCAAGCGAGAGAGAGGAAGGAGTTAGTCGAAGCAGGCCGCTTGCCTTAGAAGCAGTTTTACTCGGTTGCTGGTTGCCTTCCAGGCCAGAGGTTTAATCCTCTTGATAATTTTAAACGTATTGTAGTGTTAACAGTTCTCTGTACTACATACGGCTTCCTGTTAATATACGGCCAATCTTCCACGTAGGCCCTTGTTTATTATTTCCAAAGTTAAGTTAGAGTTTAGTTAATATTTTTATATTCTTACGTTCAGACCACAAGTGGTTGGTCTCTGTATTCCGAAGTACGGAAATTATTGTAAAGAGAGAAAAATAAAGGGTTTTCGTATACCCTTCCTGTGTATCTTGTCTACTTCCCACATTTATTGAACATAGCTTTAGTAAGCTCCCTGTTCCGAGTCAGGTCTTTGCATGTTCCCAAAGCAAGTAAGACGGAACATTGAACCTGATAGTGGCGCCCGACGCAGAAGAATAACCATGGCCGAGTTTCAAGAAGAACCTGTGCTGCCTGCAGAAGCGGCTCAGAATCCAGAAATGCCAGCTGCCGCCCTGGAAGGATTTGGTTACATCGTCCAGACCATGCGCGCTTCGATGAAACCAGAAGCAACATTTAATGGAAACTCACCGGTAACCAGTTTTTTGGAAAAATTGGATGACCACTTCATGCTGTATCCCGTGCACG